GCCTCGGTGTAATTTTCATTACTTTTCTTACTTAATGGAAACACCACAATTGAGATTTTTTTTTTTTTTACATTAGCAAAATATCGACTGTTTTGTGCACATGTCGTGTGAGCAAATGAGATTTCTTTTCACAGGACTGTGAGGACCCCAACCCTCTGATCCGGGCCCTGGCTGTCCGCACCATGGGCTGCATACGGGTGGACAAGATCACAGAGTACTTGTGTGAGCCGCTAAGGAAGTGTCTGAAGGATGAGGACCCATATGTGAGGAAGACAGCAGCTGTTTGTGTGGCAAAGCTGCATGACATCAATGCCCAGATGGTGGAAGATCAGGGTTTCCTGGACTCTCTGAGGGATCTCATCGCTGACTCAAACCCCATGGTTGGCCTTCTTTTATTTTACTTCATAGATAGACTTAGGACTACATTTTCTTTGTGCCCAGTCAAATAAAGTTGTTTAAATTTCATTTATGAAATACTGTGTTTTACAAGCTTGACTGTCATCCCACAGGTTGTTGCCAATGCAGTTGCTGCTTTGTCTGAGATCAGCGAGTCTCACCCCAACAGCAATTTGCTGGACCTGAACCCCCAGAACATCAACAAGCTACTGACGGCCCTCAACGAATGCACAGAGTGGGGACAGATTTTCATCCTAGACTGCCTGTCCAACTACAACCCCAAGGATGACCGAGAGGCTCAGAGGTAGAGATCCTGAAATCCTTAAAGGGGACCTATTGTCCAAAATTCACATTTTGGACATTTGGGTTTCTGCTGCTTCTGGAAACAGCAGAAACGCTTAAAAAAAACCAGTCATTTTTTTGGCAATAAACTCCTTTTGAACTGCACAGCCCGACCCAGACTTGCCTGGTTTGAAACTGGGCTGAGCGTTTTTGCATTAGCACTTCCAGCCCAGTCCCACCCAGCTCCCTGGAACCTAGAGAGCTGCGGTTCCAACCGGCCCGGCCAGACAGTTCTCGTTTGGAGTTAGCTGTTGATTACTGCGTTGGCTGCGGGGGCAGGACAGAGACAAGTTGTCTTCCAGATCTCTGGGTCAGAGGAGCATTTTTTCTTTTTGATTTTCTCAATGTGTCATTTTAACATGCAGCATCAAAATATTCTCGTCATCATCTATTCTTACCTGTAAGTTTTTAAATGATAATAATAACATATTCAATTGCATTTTTCTTTCGGTTAATATAACATTCAAGAAGTTGAATTTAGGATCCACATGACGCCATCAGATCAAGCAGATAAATATATATAACTTTTTCCCACAGTTGGGGAGAAAGAAAAAACGTACACTGACATTGGTCCCACTAACAGCATATAAATGATAAAATTCAATGATGCAGCTAAATTATGAGCTGTTTATCTGCAGTAGCCTGAATGTATGTAATCTCATAACTTCCTGGTCTGCATCGGCTGTACATAGTCAAATATCTCAGAGTTTTGAAGTTGATCTGGAGGATGAATCTGCGCTCTGTGATACACTGGGATTACAAGCGCACTTAAGCTAAACATTTTAATGGTAAATGTAAATAACATTTTTTCAAATGATGAGAAGTCGGCAAGGCTCTGACAAAGTGATTTTTGCATCTCACGTTGCCTGATTGGGGGAAATCCCGCAAGCCCCACAGTGCAAAAAGAGCTCGAGCAACCCAAGTAGAGCTGGGTTTATGGCTGTATGTGCTGTACAATGGCTGCTGGAAACCACAGGAGTTTTATTGACTTATCATCCAGAGAACACTTTCTGCATTCTTGTAGGTTGTGAAGGAGGCTCCACTTCTGCTTTTCAAAGATGTATGGTTGTATAATTGCGCATCTGTTTGGGTAGGCGTGGCCAGCAGCAGCTTATTTGGATTTAAAGTGACAAGAGGCCCCAAAACAACTCATTTTGAAAGGACCTCAAAATAGGCAGAACTGACCCAACTGAAATCTGATTATCTGAGAATGATTTTGTGCAAAAAATGTAATGAACATGTGTTGTACAGCCCATAGACATATCCTAACCAGTTCAAGCAAGCCTAGTAGGCCCCCTTTAACTTAATCCATATTTAGTAAAGATTGGTTTTGAGCGAAACTATGCCTCTTTCCTCTCTGAACTCATGCTGAGATTCTTCCTCTGTTGTGTCTCAAAGCATCTGTGAGCGTGTCACTCCTCGACTGTCTCACGCCAACTCAGCAGTGGTTCTGTCCGCTGTCAAGGTCCTGATGAAGTTCTTGGAGCTCCTGCCAAAGGACTCGGACTACTACAACACATTACTGAAGAAGCTGTCTCCGCCACTCGTTACTCTGCTGTCTGGAGAGCCAGAGGTCCAGTATGTGGCTCTGAGGAACATCAACCTGATTGTTCAGAAAAGGTATGAGATCGACATGGCTGTTTGCGCTTGATACATTTTAGGGTGGAAAACATTAATCTGATTAATTGCAATAATTTAATTATTGAAATCATAGTCGACTAATTTAGTTGACATATATGGCATATATGAAAACTATGTATATTTTGCACTTAAGTTTTAAAAAAAAGAAAGAAAACAAAGAAAACTTTTCTATAAATATGTTCTACCCAGAGGTCCTCAAGTGGCAGTTTTAGCTTCATCTGGTTAAAAAAGTTTTTTAAAAATTGTATTAAGCTCATTTTGCTATCTGGTTATTAATCAGTTTATCCAAAAATAATCAATAAATGAGCTCTACACTGTATTGATAAGTTAAGCAGAATGAACTGAGCTTTTCATGTGTTATTGTTAATATTTTTAGCTGCAGATGCTCCTTTGCTACAGATGACCAAGCGTTCACTAAAGGAATACCGTGTTATTGCATTTTAGGCAACAAAATGTTTACTTTCTAATTAAAAAAGTAATTGAATTATTTATGTACATCTTTTAATGTTTTTCCAGCATTTTATAAAAAGGCTTAAGTGGTTAAATGAAAAATCTGCAGAATGTGCCCATTTTTTACCCCATTAATTTATGACTAAAATAATCACTAGTTGCATCCCTACTGCTTTTTGAGATTAAGTCTCTCAACATGAGCACAGATTTCCCACACACCTTTGAAAACATAAGGCACTTTTCCACTACACCACCTCTAACTGGTACAGTTCTGGTCCACCTCGGCGAAGATTAATTTTCCATTAGCAAATCTGGCACAGCTCTGCCTGGTTCTTCTCAGATTTTGGTCTCTACTTCAGGGGTAGTACCAGCAGCACAGACCAGGGTACGGCATTGTTTGACTGCTGGCCGCATTCACTGATTGGATTTATGTCATTGAAAAAGCATACAACATAATTATGAGTGTAATTATGAGTTTAATCATGAGCATCTCCAGAAACACATGCGTAAACTCTCTGATGGAGCTGCTGTTTTGCACAGACAGTGTGAAACACTGGAACGACGTAATATTAGCTTGTGATGTGAATTTTATTTTTCCTTTGGGTTAAAAAAAAGTAAAGTGGCTACTAGTTTTCATCTAGTGAGGAACAGAGCGTCTGATGGAAAAGCTCACTACCGGGGTAGAACAGAGCCTCACATTAACCGGTTAGTGCACAACTTGACAGTGGAAAAGTGCTTATATTAAATTTAAGTGTTAGAGTTAATAAAGTGAGTACAAAGGAAAAAAAATGTTTGTGGTATTCAAAAGTATTCTTCTTCCATCGTTTAAGTTCTAAGTTGTTTTATGTTCTATCATAAATTTGTAGCTTCTGTTTTCATGATGAACTTTTGTTTTTATTTTTTAAAATAAACAAGAAAACTTCCAACAGGGCCGTGTGTGTGTGTGTGTGTGTGTGTGTGTGTGTGTGTGTTGTTTCCTTGCAGACCTGAGATCCTAAAGCAGGAGATTAAAGTGTTCTTTGTCAAGTATAACGACCCGATTTATGTGAAGCTGGAGAAACTGGACATCATGATCCGCTTGGCCTCTCAGGCCAACATTGCCCAGGTAGGTTCCATGTACAAAACACATTATTGTTGTTATTTAATGGCAGGCTCTATTTTCAAAATAAAAATAAAAAAATAAACGATTGTGAAAAGCAGTTGGACATTACTGACCTTCTTTAATATTGTCCAACAAAAAATTTCACTGACCTGCTTCTCCTTTAACTTTGCAAACATATACTGCCAATTTCCACAAGAAAAATCTTGAAAATACAATCCATGCTGCCATTTTTTTCAGTGCTTACGCAGAAGTGATATTTTGATTAGTTTAATAAAAATGTGTTTTTTTTGTATTGCTTTTGCTCCATGTATATGGTGGGAGTGATATATGTTTTGGACCCTTACAGGTTTTGGCTGAACTGAAGGAATATGCCACAGAGGTAGATGTTGACTTTGTGCGTAAGGCAGTACGAGCCATCGGACGTTGTGCCATCAAAGTGGAGGTGAGGACTGACTGCTGTCACTTGATCTATTTTTTTTTTCTGAGAAGCCACCAGAATCAAATAATTACTAGCTTAACAGGCACTGACTTGTCTGTTAAAACCTCAGAAATCCAATCTTCTTCTGGTCAGTGAATTCTGAAGCACCAACAGGTCTTGGTGACAGTGACTTTCTTTTATGTTGGGATTATTAGTGAGGGCTGGAAGGCTGACATTGTATAGATAATTTTTAAAAACATAAGGAGACACACTAAAAGGTGGAAAACTACTTTCTATGGTGGTGTGCCAGCTGTCCAAGACACTACTGAGAGCTAGACGCCAACAGATAATTCAAAGGCTGCAGCAAAGTTGCTCTGTTTTGTCTCTCTTGCTTTATTTAGCGGCTTTTTGGTAATACACACAAACATCAAGTTAAAGGGCGTTACTTATTCTAACCACTTTAATCACTAACATTCAATGCTAAAATTGGCATTAATGGCAACTCCATGATGATTTTAGGACTGGGCAATATGACTTAATGATCGAAATTCAGATTTTTTTTTTCCCCGATTTCTTTTCTAAAAAAAGACATCATAGAAAATATTTGTAAAAAGTATCTTTTATTTTAATCATCCCTTCTGGTAGTTGTGCGATGGAGTATTCCATCACACAGTCATGATATTTGCAGTTTTTAATTAGAAAAAAGCTTGGTTATCAGGATCTGCGGTGAGCAGCTCAGTTGGTGTAGTTCTGTCTTCGAAATAGACCCACCATCATTTCAATGTTACTGACAATAATCTGATGCTGATGTGTTAAAAGATTAAATATAATCTCAGGAATTTATGCCAAAGTTTACACAACATTCGTCATTTTAATTTTTTGTGTTGACGTTCTCAGAAACTTGTTACTTCATTTTGGCAATATTACGATTTTATTCTGGTAATATTGTGACTTTATTCTCATCATTAAAAAAAACTTTGCCTGGTTTTATTATTCTGTAGAGTTCACCTGTATTCAACATCCAAATAAATAGAAGCTGTAAAACATGCTTGTGGGCACACTGACCAGTCCACTCCTATGGAAACCCAAGGAGTGCATCGGTGAAAGAAAAATCCAGATTTTCCTGAAATTAAATCTTCAAAAATCAAATATTTTATTCGTCGAGAGAATTTATTTATTGCCCAGGATTATCTTGTCTTTGTTTTTAAAATAACAAACAAGGCTAACAGATAATAAATACTCCAGTAAGATTCTTTTAGTAGATGTATTTGTCTGGCCATGGCTGAAAGCTCTGAAGTGGACTCACTGAAAGGATCTATTGTTGTAAGTTAGTATGATCCTTTTGTACTGAGGATGAGTGTGTCTTTTGTTTCTGTAGCAATCGGCTGAGCGCTGTGTCAGCACTCTGCTGGACCTGATCCAGACAAAGGTCAACTACGTGGTTCAGGAGGCTATTGTGGTCATCAGGGACATTTTCCGCAAGTACCCTAACAAGTATGTGGGAACACCCTGGCTTACATCACCTGTCCAGTTATCTTTACGTCTAACCACCGAGATGCTGCTGTTCTTTAGATATGAGAGCATCATCGCCACGCTGTGCGAGAACCTGGACTCCCTGGATGAACCCGATGCTCGAGGTGCCATGATCTGGATCGTCGGAGAGTACGCCGAGAGGATCGACAATGCTGACGAATTGCTCGAGAGCTTCCTCGAGGGTTTCCACGACGAGAGCACTCAGGTGAGTTGATTAAAAAGAACGGATGTACAGGTTCTTGTGAACTCTGCTTTCATCTCCTTGAATGGCCCAAAAACTAACTCAGATAATTGTCGTGAAAGTTAACATGTTTACTAACCCTTTCAAAAGAAATCAATGCATCTCGCTGTTTACATTCTGCATAAATTCCCTGCTTTCCATTACACCTATACACAGTTTGTTTCTTTGTCTTGCTTTGCAGGTACAACTCACTCTTTTGACTGCCATTGTGAAGCTGTTCCTGAAGAAACCATCAGAAACTCAGGAGCTGGTGCAGCAGGTCCTCAGCCTGGCCACTCAGGTTAGTGCTGTTTGTGTTACAAAAGTCAGTTCTACAGAAATTAAATGGATTATTCCCTTCATAAAACTACTTTTGGTAATTCTAACTGACCTAAAACAAGAGAAATTTGTTCCGTTTTATTTACAGACAGTGAGAATAAAAGATGTGCTTGTCTTTTTGCTTAGTGTATGTAAACTTCAGGTTTCAACTGTATGTATGATTTCAACTTTAGGAGAACTGCTTATTTAGATTTGTGACTATGAAGTAGTTTTGTGTACACAAAACAGTTACTTTAAAAAATGTCTTGTTTTTGTTATTTCCAATATGAAATGGAACAGGAAATAAATATTTTTCCCCTATTTGTGTTTGAGTTTTATCTTTCATTCTATGAACCACTTATAAACAACAGACTTTCACACCTGCTTCACAGAATATATTTGAGTCAAGACTTCTCTATTATGGGGGAAAATCATTATCACAATTTTTTCACTGCAAAAAATAACAGTAAACCCATATTAAACCTTTGTGAATGTGTTCTTGGTGAACTCAGAAGTGATGCTCAGAAATCTCCCCTGTCTGGTTTGTCCAGCCTCCAGTCTGAACAGGTCAGGTCACATCAGACAGACCAGAATCTGAAATGACCAGTGCTGTCTGTGAAACTGTTTCTTTATTGTAAAAGTCTTTGAAAAGGTTGAGAACCTCTTTCCAACTTCACAGATTACTAGGTCAAATCCACACATTAACAAAATTCATAAAATTAGATGATTTTTAACATTTGCATGCTGTGGAAATATGAAATGTGGCATTAATATTTTTCATATAAAAATGCAAATCTTATCACCTGCACAGTCTTACATTGAGATTTATTTCAGTTTTTTTCTTTCCCCCATCAGGACTCTGACAACCCAGACCTCCGTGACAGAGGCTATATTTACTGGCGCCTGCTGTCGACTGACCCTGTGACGGCCAAAGAGGTGGTGCTGTCAGAAAAGCCCCTGATCTCGGAGGAGACTGACTTGATTGAGCCCACGCTGCTGGACGAGCTGATCTGCCACATCGGCTCCCTGGCCTCAGTCTATCACAAGCCGCCCAGCGCCTTTGTGGAGGGAAGTCATGGAATCCACCGGAAGCACCTTCCTGTCCAGCACAGCAGGTCAAACACAGAAAAACCTGAATAATTTACAAAGATCTTAGTGTTGCTTTATTGGTTATTTTTCTAACGTGAAGGCCTTAAAATATCTTAAATTGATTATAGAAAATGTAAGTTGGCCTTAAAAACAGTAATCACGGGTCTTAAATTTCATTGTGGCAGGACTATTTAATATTATATATTCTATGCAGGTTTTATGAGACTTTTTAATCAGACAAAAGCTGTAGTCGTGCACAGACATCTTCACTCACTGCGTTCTTTGATTCAGTTTGGTTAAGGTTACTGCTAACGAGCTGCTAATACTTCTTGCTATCCAGTTTGCTTGCTAACTAGCTGGCAAGCAAACAAGTCATTAGCACCTAACATATGGCTCATTACCAGTTAGCATATGGCTTTCGAGGTAGCTAGATAACTAGAAAGCCATATGCCATTTTCATGATGTGAGAAGCACACAGTTGCTCCCAAGAGCCACAAAAATACCCCAGAAAGTTCACAGTTTTGGTCCCCTGAATGTCTTTGATACATCTGTTGTGATGTGTGAACATTTTATTCTTGATGGTCTTAAAAAGATCTTAAGTCCTAAACTTTAGTTGGTGAAGCCTGCATAAACCGTGTTCTATATATTCAGCCTTGAGTCAGAGACTTCACTGATATTTTGAGTGAAAGAAGTTTAAATGTACCATCTCTAACCTCTTCTCCACTTCCTCCTGAACAGTATTGATACAGGCGAGAGCCCTGTGAGCGGAGGTCCAGCTGCCGCCATGGACCAGCCACATGTGATTCCTAGCCAGGGTGACCTTCTGGGTGACCTGCTAAACCTTGACCTGGGCCCTCCTGTCAATGTTCCCCAAGTCTCCTCCATGCAGATGGGTGCAGTGGACCTGCTGGGTGGAGGCCTGGACAGCTTGGTGAGATCAGTCGCACAAATAAGTTACTTTTCCACCACCTGCATGGCTGCAATGTACCACTTTGATTTTACTGTTGAACATAAAAACTGCCTTTTTGGTGTTAATACTTTTATGAAGTTTATTAGTTCATGATGGGGTCCAGTTGTAAAATTGGATGGATTTCAGTAAATTACAATTTCACTGAAAAGTTTAAGTAATATAATACAGAAAGTGTAAGCTATTATGGATTCATTGCACACAGATTAATGTTTCAAGGGTTTATTAATGTTAACATTGCTACAGCTAATGAAAACACCAGTTTTGTTTCACTGAAAATTTTCAAACCATTACTTTAGACCAGCAGTGGGTAATCCTGGTCCTGGAGGGCCGGCGTCCTGCAGCTCTTAGACGTCTCCCTGGTCCAACACACTTGAATCCAACAGCTGAATCTCCTCCTCAGTGCAGTCAGGTTCTCCAGTCCTGCTAACGACCTCATTATTTGACTCAGGTGTGTTGAAGTTGAGACACATCTAAAAGTTGCAGGAGACCCTCCAGGCCTGGAGTTGCCCAGCCCTGCTGTAGACCAATAGAGATAATTTATTTTTAATATAAAATGTTATGGCCATGTAAAAAGTATGGTCTACAACTATGTTTTTACAACATCCACAACAAGGTTAAGCCACAAAAATCTTATTGCTAAGGAAAATGGCTGTTCAGAGTTATTGATCCAGGCATATTAACCACTTGTAGGAAGTAGTTGGACTACATGTCCAAGACGGCCTATGGATCATATTGGAAGGGCTTCGCCCTCGTCTTGTGGTTGGAATTATACCTAATTATGCCTAAATTAGCACAATTACATAGTAAATAATTAAATTCATAGTGTTTTGTATTCAGTTCAATAATATGTTAAATTGTTATTGTCAGCAAATCAAATAACCACTTTTGCTTTTATAATTTTAAATAAATTAATATAGTAGGCAGTAAATGGGAAGTTGAGTGAAAGGGGGAAAAAATGCATAAAATTTCGTTCTAATTGTATGACTGTTTATTAATTTTTTTTCTTCCACACAACTTTTCAACAGCATGCTTAGATAAAACTGTCTGAAAATCCATCTTATTTAGCAATGAGCCCTTTGTGAACATTGTGGATGACAGTCTGCTGCACATCAATGTTCTGGAATCAGACATTTTTTTTCATTAATCTGATGTACTTAAATGTTCTGAGAAGCTATAATTGATGTTTTTGTTAGCTGTAAGCCCTAATTATCAGAAATGTAAATATTACTCTGCTCATAATGAATAGTTTTACTTTTATGAATTTTATAGAATATATTTTTTTTAAATATTACTTTTTTTGGTAACACTTTCTTTGAAGGGGGTTGAATAAGACTGTCATGACACTGTCATAAACATGTCATAACACAAGTCATGAACATGAATAAGCCTTCATGAATATAACACAAAGTCACAGAGTGAAGTAAATATTCATGAAGGCTTATTCATGTTCATGACAGGTGTTATGTCATGTTTATGACAGTGTCATGACAGTCTTATTCAACCCCCTTCAAATAAAGTGTTACCCTTTTTTTAAAAAATACAAGAGTGACATTGGTTCATAAATTAAGGCTATTTTTAGTCTCAGTTTTACATTTAACATCTCAGAATGTCTAGAGGTCTTGGTAATTGTCTTACAGATTTATTATTGAGGTATTTTCCCAGACAGTGAGGGGCTGCTCTTGATGGCTTGCGGTTGCTAAGAAGGTCTCTGTTTCTGTCTTTGTGTGTGTGTGTGTGTGTGTGTTCGGTCTTTCTCTGATGTTTGGATGCTGTCTTTGGGGGCGTCTCCTCTTCTCTCCCATAGCTTGGGGGAGACCTGGGCGGAGGTGTTGGGGGAAGTCCAGCAGTAAGTTAAGCCCTTCTGTTCGGCCATCTTGCTGCATGCTTCTTGAACTAAACTCTCACTGCACTCTTCACGCTTTCATTGCTTCACACCTGTGTGCACAGCTTGAAAATGGCTTGTTTTGAATCATTTTGGCCTATTTTAAAACAAAATTTATGACTTTTATTTCAGTCTTATGATCCCAGTGGGTTTGTATTTTTATATTTTATACTGTTGAATATATTGTTTACTAGCATTAGATCAGTTTATGAAAACTCTTCATTAATGCTAAATTGAGTTGGGTTATGGATTTTGTGTTATTGAATAATTTGAAGTAAATGTTTTATGATTCATGGGCTAAAATACTAAGATGCACATAAAAGGTGTTTCTCTCAATTAATTTAGGTCTGCTTTTATTTTTGCTTTGGCTGAGTGTTCAAATATTATTTCCATATAATCATGCTTTCTTTTGCCAGTGACCTAACATCTAACATTCTTTGTGTGATTTATTTATGTTTTCTTCTTGGGCTTTTGGCATATTTTTGGTGAAACTGCATAGGAAGCTTACTGACATGGTTTTAACTAGAACAGTGTGTTTTCAGTGTTTGTGCTATTGTCTCGGAACTCCTTCAGGTGGGACAAAACTTCATTCCGTCATCCGTCCCCAGCACTTTTGCTCCGTCACCAACTCCTGCTCCTCCAGCAGTCAGCAGTGGCCTCAATGACCTTTTTGAGCTTTCCACAGGCATGGCCATCGCCACCGGAGGCTTCGTAGCCCCAAAAGCAGTGAGTACACACAACTTTATCGCACATGCATCGATCCAAGTGACAATATAGTGTCAAATTAAACCGAGATTATTCATGCTAAAAGGATTTGAAACATTTTTTCTAGCTAGATTTATTTTGTTAATGTTATATTACATGGTTGGTTTCATTTCTGTAGAAATCAATGAATGTTTTGGATTGAATTTGGTTTTGTACTTAAAGCTGCGGTATGTAAATTTTGTAAAAATATGTTTTTTGCATACGTCACTGTTTGGACAGTATAACATGAGACACATGATACGAAAAAAAGTCAAGCTCCTCTGCCTCATCCCTGTGATTCTACTGCCACTTGCAGATAAACATCACTCAGTCAGAAACAACCAGTCAGAGCTAGGAGAAGGGTCTGAGCACTGTCATCATGATCACATATGTGTTGCGCAATGTGCTTATGGCAGAGAAACAACTTATAACAGGAAAACTGTATAACCGCTGTCATCAGCGGCCATGCTAACTGTCTGTGCTGTGGGGAATGAGCAGTTGCACAGAAAAGAGCAAGGCAGAGGGTGTGAGCAACGCTTACCAGAGGATGATTGACACTGTTGGTCTGGACAATATGGTTGAAAAATGTATCATGATATAAGTGAACTGCATGGCCTACGGGGGGTTACATATCAGTGGTTAAAGAGTTATTTGAGTAACAGATTAAAATATGAATCGTATGATTCATATTTCATATGAATTGATAGTGATATATTGAGTTTTTTTTTTTTTTTTTTTGAATATCTGAAATACTGCTAAACTGGTCGCGTGACCTTTCCTGTTTTATCCACAGAGCCTACTTCAGGCATAGTTTATTTCTAAGCAGTTATGAGGAAACCTTAAACTACAGCTGCTCAAGTTACTCAACATTTGTTGCTCGGTAACCAAATAGTGAGTTAGTGAGTTAGTTGATGTCACCAACCTAGCTTAGTTGGTCGTGAGTTTCAGCAGCTTTAGTCTTTCCTCTGTCTACATCCTCCACATTGCTTTCCAGTTCTGGATCAGGGTTCTGTGAATATTCTATATATTGAATATTCTATCAGACATATTATCTATTGATACTGATCATCTGCCTAGCATGATATGTATCAGTGATATGAATAGAATTGATTTATTGTCCAGCTCTAACCCACTTTCATTTCTACTGATTTGATATTAATCATACTTGAATGCTGCTGGATTTTTGTTGGAGTAAGTCATGGAGTCTTCCAAATCTAGTAAAGATTAATAAAATGTGTAAAATATGAAGCCCAAAAATGATAGTTTTTCTGGAGTAAAAACTGTAGAAACATCTGACTTTTTGAATGTGTCTATTCAGCGAAGGATAAACGTAAGACACAAAGTATTACACAGCTTGGTTGGTAGGGAGGGTGCACCATGTGCTAAGGCTATATTCCTCTATACAGTCTTTTTCCTGCATGTCTTCCCCTTCTCTCTTCTCTCTCCACCTTCTTTCATGTCAAATTGCCATTAAATAAATGTCACTAGTGCCAAAAAAATCTTTAAACCAAAAACTGCTTTTTACCAGGTGTGGCTTCCTGCAGTAAAAGCCAAGGGACTAGAAATCTCTGGAACATTCTCCCGCCGCCAGGGCCACATGTACATGGACATGTCGTTCACCAACAAGGCACTGCAGCACATGAATGACTTTGCCGTCCAGTTCAACAAAAACAGGTTTGTGAACTGGAGGAGAGGAATTTTCAGGCACTAATTCACAAATGTTTGTGGGAAAGTTGCAGCTGAATAGCACCAGGTTTAGATTTCTATTCTCGTTGCAGTTTTGGTGTGATTCCCACCAGTCCTCTGCCCATTCACACTCCACTGATGCCCAATCAGAGTATCGAGGTCTCCCTGCCTGTTAACACCATTGGACCTGTTATGAAAATGGATCCGCTCAATAATCTGCAGGTACAGGAGCATGTCCTCATAAATGCTGTTTGATCACTATCAAGTGACTTTTGGTTGATCATCATTTAGATCAGGGATGTCAAACTCATTTTCATTTTGGACCATGTCAGGATAGTGAATGTTCTCATGGGGTGGTTGTGCCAAAATTTATTGATAGAACCCACTAACAAACTGCTGAAATATTAATAAGTTTTTGATTATTAGTTCTTAGAAATAGGACATACAATTCAAATGTGAACTGTATGGCCTACGGTGGGTTACATATCGGTGGTTAAAGAGTTATTTGAGTAACAGATTAAAATATGTACAAATTAACAACACAAAGTCACAGAGTGAAGTAGTTTTAAATGTGGTCTTCCTCAAGGCTCAGTCCTAGGACCTAAATTATTTAAACTTTACTTAAATGATATTTTTGCAGTATCCAATATTTTTAAGTTTATAATGTTTGCTGACAATACAAATGTATTTTTTTCTGGAAAAAATATGGATGAAATAATAAAAGATTTAGTAAATGTTAAAGGCCTGCATATTATATATTCCTCTTTGATTTTGCCTTATTTGTCTTGCTCAGAAATCTGGGGAAATGCAAGTAAAACAAACATTGATAAATTAGTTAAGTTGCAAAAAAACAACCTCTAAGGCTTTTTTTTTTTTTTCACGGTATAAGGTGGGGTACCGTGAACCAACTGATAAACTCTTCATTCAAAGTAATATATTAAAATTTAAAGGTACTGTTTATATAAAAATACTGGAAATAATGTATAAAGCATTGAACAAAAGTCTTCCTTCTGGTATTCAGAAATTATTTAAATTGAGAGAGAATAAATATAATTTGCGAGGTTTTTTTTATCTTTGAATGTGCAAAAGAGAAGAGACAGGTAAAGTCTAGATGTGTTTCAGTTATTAGTGTGAAACTGGAATGAATTGAATGATGATTTTAAATTATGTCCTTTCTTGGTGACCTTTAAAAGAGCTCTAAAATTTAAATGATAACAATTTACACTGTAATGTAGATTTATATATGCATACATATGCTTAAGGAGATATCTTGGTAGGGTGTTGGGTATAAAATAGGGTAGGCAAGAATAAGCTTGGCTTCAGCCTGTTCCTTTTATGTTAAATTATGGGCTTCTTTATTGTTTTATTGTTTTTTTTGTTGTTGTTCTTTCCTGTGTTTAATGTGGACAATTTACCAAAAATAAAGTGATTGGTAAAAAAAATAAATAAATAAAATGGTAATCATTTCACATCTTCAGTCCCACCAGGGTTATACAATTGCTTTTGTGATTTTTTTTTTCTATCAAAATCACAGATTTTGTGGCGTTAACTTAAAAATATTTGAAGGCAATTTTGTAAAATTCAAGCTTATGTATGATGTTAAATGTGACTCTTTTTTTTTCTTTCTCACCATGTCTATTACACACTGTAACTTGACAACAAGTGAGGCTAAGGCAGTGTTGTAAAAGTAAGAAATGGTGCCACCTACTGGTGGAAGTTAGCAGTCACGTAAATCTAATGTTTTTGATAATTTTTGGGGAAGATTTGCAATAAACTTACTTATATGCATTAGCATGAAAATATGCGGGGTTTGTTGATTTTTGCAAAAAATTTCCACAGTCGCAGAATCGCGACAAACTGGAGGGACCTAGTGATGTTAACATGACGTCTACAGTCTAAATCAGTGTTTCTCAACCTTTTTGGGGCCAGCGCCCCTCTATCCATTATCCAGGTCCCTTACCGCCCATCATAGAAATTCTAGCTACTTTGCACTGAATATTATTTTATTCTTAATATTACTGTCACTGTTGATGTTTTGATTTTTATGGTTGTTTCTGGAGTTATCGTCAAAAATAATTTCCCAGAGAACAAAAAAGCCATGGGAATAGAAATTATTTTCACAGGCGTCTAAGAAAAATGCAATAGATATTTAACTTAAAATCGGTAGGCCTAACATCAGCCAATAAGAGTAGAAAAATATTCTTATTCTGTGCCATTTTCTAGTTGTTAAATATTCCACAAAATGACCAGATAAAAAAATGTACAACATGCCATTTTAAACTTTAAACTATTTGCAAAAAGACTGAGCTCTGCAACATTAAAACGTGGACAGAACTCCAACTATGTCAATCATAGCTCTTCTTGTCTCCAATGTTTCTCATCAGAGTATCATCCAAAAAATTTCATACACGGCACTTACTGTGTAAACCAGAGCTTTCAGTGGGAAAACAAAAGTTCCAGATCGTTTTAATGTCATACAAATATGAGACAGAAACATGGATTATGTCTTTATATAGACCTGTCTATTGATTTATAGATTAATGGTTCGTTGCTCCGTTCTATGTCACGGCTCTCCTGTTTCAGAGTTTTGCACAACGTGCGCATCGTCTTTTTTTTTTTTTTTTTTTTTTCCCATAAGGCGCGGAGCGGTCGGGAAGTGCATATCGATGGAGAAAAACAGACTGACTCCGGTATTGTGATCATTAAAATTCAAAAGTGCTGTGGTGCTACGGTTTCATACCATATCACTAACAGAACCAATGTTAACTCTATAAAATGAACGCTCTCTATCGAGGCTTTTTTAATACAAGTTGCTGCTTTGACATGATCACAGCACTGACAAAACAAAAGTACAAAAATCCTGAATAAGACATAAAATATTTGACATAGATGGAATGTCAGAATCCCACCTAAACAGTTCTTAGAATGGGATAGATCATTAGCGAGGTATTTGTTTTCAGGGTAAAAAGGCCAGAATTAAGTTTAGAACTCTACAACTAAAAAAAGAAAAGGGTGGAATTGGCCTTCCCTGTTTACAGGAATACTAACATGCAGCCCAGCTAAGACCTTTAGTCTGTCTGTGTTCACCATCATACACTGCAGCATGGAAGGAAATAGAAGGAACGGCGATAAAAGGAATCCCAATAACAGCCCTACTTAGTAATTATAAATTACAGGAAGAACAGCAGATCCCAGAAGACTCCATAACAGGAAGTGTTCTCAAGTCCTGGCAGGAATTGGCTAAAATTTGCAGAATAGGAGATGCATCTAAAATTATGAGGTGTGTGCCTATGATTCAGATTTTGCACCAGATAGAATTGATAACAGATTCAAGTTATGGATCTCAAAAGGATTAACTACC